AGTCTGTAATTGCTCTCGCTCTCTCTTCAACTCCTCCAGTGCCCAAAGGTTTTCAACTCACCTGGCTGGAAGCTGCATTGGCCATCTTCCAGTCGGGAATGAAGGGGCTGGCTGCCTGGGTTTCTCCCAAGGGCTCAACAAACTGCGGAAGTGAATTCCTTGCCTGAATCCTGCCATTCAGCTGGCTAGTTAGGACTGCTAGTTCTGTTTTTAGTGCAACAACATAGTAAAGAGATGCTGCCGCCAGGCAAGAGGAGATAAACACTGCAAGTCCAAGAAAGATGAATAGGAGCCCTTTGCAATCAAAGCCATTAATGGAAGGAGAGGAAGAGGGAGAAGATCCACCAGTGGTGAAGATATTGCTTTTTTCTCGCGGGAAGTTCATAGATTTCATGACTCCTTTATTAAAACCAAGTAGAAACTTCAGCTGCTTCTCATTCTGTGCAATGCAAACATTTTCCAGTTGCATCCAAGCTACGTAGTCAAAATCCCATACTGCATGCTTCCGGTCATGAGAACCTACTGACGCCACGTATGTTGTTTCTGCTCTGCATCTGCACTGTGTAAAGCTCTGTTTCTGTATTTCGGCAATGAATCTTCCTCATTTTGGTTTCTACCTCATTTGTTACCCTTTATCCTCATTATGCAGCCCCATGACTTTGCCTGACTGCACAACCTCTACCAATGAAATAACAGCTGGGCATTAATTTCCTCCTTGACAAATGAGTGCATTTGTATGGGGTGAAGATTTTTTTTAAAAAGTGGGACTTTTGTCCATTTATAGTTCCCTCATATGCTACATATATCCCTTCTCATTAGGTCTGCTGTTGTAGAAGCATTGCACCAGTTCCAGATGTTCTTTTCTCATCCATGTATGGTTTCTTCCATTAGCCCACTTATCATTAGATTGTCCTGGAGGCGGATCTTGATATCCAAGCCGGCCTAATTCTCTTAGTTCGTGTCAGTCTTATATCTGAGACAGAGAGGTGAAGCCCCTGTTTCTTCCAAACACCAAAAAAGTCAATGTAATCTTCCAATATAGAAATACCCTAGGACTGACTGTCAAAGAGTACCATGAATTGTGATTCACTGGTTTGCAGTTTCAAAGAGTTATGTGTATAAAAACAAATTCTGGGCATAAAATCAGTCATTACAACTAAGCCTAATAAACTTGTGCAATCATTTGAGCTGAGTGTTGCATAAACATTTCAAGTGACTATTTCAGGAAGAAATAAAAATTAAGAGGGCTTTATATATTTGCTATGAACCTACCTGAATCACAGTTCTTTCAGCACAATTCTGCTATATTTCTCAATGCAATAATGAAAATGAATTGCATAAGTTAGAAAGTAATTAGAAAAAGAAAGTAATTTAATTAATGAATCAATTTATAAATCAATTAATATTGGTACATTAATTAGAAAATTCATTGCATATATTAGATATTAATTCATGTAAACTAATTACTCCAATTTATAACCCCCCCTCCGAGCAATTACAAACAAAAAAACATTATCTGCCTTGATTACTATACTGTATTTCTTTTCAAATATATATTTACTTGGAAACATCATTTCTCGTCCTTTCCCTCCAATACTGTATGATAATATAAATAGAAAACAAATTTTGTATATGGAAAAAGATTATTTGATTTCTATCCTGCCTTTTTTATTTTATAAGTCAAGGCAATGAACATGCCTAATATATCTTCCTTCCCCCTATTTTCCTTATAACAACTTTGTGAGGTGGGTTGGACTGAGAATGATTGACCCGAAGTCACCCAGCCGGCTTTTATGCCTAAAGCTGGACTAGAACCTACAGTCTACCAGCTTTTAGCCTGGTGCTTTAACCATTAGACCAAGATGGTGTACTTAAAAAGGTTTTGCTCAAAAATATTGGTGAAAGATTAATCAAAGTTTTACAGGTCCAGGAAATTACTGACCCACAAAAGTTGCTCTGCTATCAAAATATGAAAAGTATGTATTTCTAAAATATGATAAGCTTCAAGATTATTAAAAATGTAAGTCAAAGCAAGTATCTCGAAAAACTCAAGGGAAAAAAAGGGTCTGAAGTACAATAAACCAACACAATAAGCCTAATGCTACTATATCAATTCCTAAGTAATTATGAAAAAAATATCTATTCCTGGAGAACCACTGTATAATAGTGTAGCATCATCCTCATGGTTGGCACAATTGGGTTCAGCATACTTTTGCATATGTGTGTTTGTGTGCCTTCAGGTCAGTGGTCGTTCCTTGATCCTTCACCTGAACAAGTCTCTGCAACTTTCTTGACAGGATTTCTGTCTGGTGTAATGGTGAAGACAGATAGCCTGGAAAGCAGGAGTAAGTGAGCCCTAGTCCCAACTCAAACATAAAAGCTAGCTGGGTGGATTTGGGCCAGTCCCTCTCTTAGCCCAATCCCCTCATAGCGTTGGTTGTTGTAGGATAACAGGAGGAGAGAGTATTACTTTTATGTTTGACCATTTTATAGTGTATAAAAAGTTATTAATAAAAAGGAGGGATACAAAAATCTAATACTTATTTCAGAAATTAATTGCCCTTGCCTGCTTTCTAGCACTGAGGGAATGACTATCTCCAGGTCACTCAGCTGGCTTCACGCCTTAGGCAAAACTAGAATTCACAGCCAGAGTTTCTAGCCTGATGCCTTCTTTACTGGCTTTCATTTAGCATAGTATAAATATCTGCCTGTGTTATCCTGAATATAACGATCGATTTTCAATTCCACATATTGTAAGAAATATTATAGCATTTAGCATAATAATGCTAGAACATTTCTTGAAATATTTGGTGTATTTTTGTATTGATTGTTATGTTCACAATAGCACGGGCAGAAAGGTGTTTCCAAAGTAAACAATCCCATAAGAAACGCAAAGAAAAAAAATTAAAAAATTAAAAACTAAAGCCTTGGGCATGACCAAGTTTACCAGCCTTTGAGTCTGTACGGTAATATCAAAATGATTACAATCTTTAGCTATACCTTTTCTTATTTAAACACAGAACAGGCAGTAAAAATATTTATGTAGCCATTGCAATGAATTGTTTTTCCCTTAGTGTTATTTATAATATTAATAATATCAAAAGATGTTAATTGTGCATCACAAAATTAAATTACATTTGGGGATTTAATCATATGTATTAAAGTAATAGCTGCCAGATTTCCCCTTCCAAGCTGGACTGGAAAATGATAAATGGGCAGTCAAGGACAAAGAAAAAGACTTCTGATAAATGAAATACCATAGAAAAGCCACCCATCAATTACTTAAGAATTCCAGAAATTGCAAGGCTTATTTACAGTGAAATCAAGTTCGAATTCCTGCACTTTTTCTACAGTCTAAAATATCCTTTGTGACAGATCTACAGCCATACAACTCAAAACAAAAGAAACACATACCATTAAAATACTGCAGAACAATTACATGGTGATCAAAACAAAAAGCTTGTTGTATCCCACCAAATGTGAAATCTGCTCCTCTTGTCCAAGGGCTGGGGGGGAAAGCCAGATCTTAACCTTTCTAAAGCTTGCAGTGCCGGCAGTGTACCAGGAGGAGAAAGGCAAGTCCAAGGGCTAGGGGCCACTGCTGAGAAGGCATGTTTCTGGGGTCTCACAAGATGGCATTGTTTCTGTTGGAGCATGTGAGATAGGCAGATACTGTAAACAATGCACTCCAATGCCATACAGTGCTTTTACAGGTGACAACTAGCACTTTGGATTGCAACTAGTGTAGAGCCAATGTTATCTTGTGGTATACATGAGTATAATAAGGAATGCTTTAACTACTTGCACAGCTGCATTCTGGATCAATTGATGATTCCAACGTCTTCATAGGGCAGCCCCAGGTAGAACAGGTTTCAGTAATTCACTCAGGAATGACTAAGGACGAATGACTGGGAGCAGACAGGAAAAGGTATAAATGGTATACAAGAGTTGTGTAACAGTCCCTCTGCTCACAGATATCACCTGCTCTTTGAACAGGAGCTACAAGTCTAGGACTACAAAATTGCATGCTGAATCCAAGCAGGACAGTACAACCCCATTCAAAGTTGAAACATCTCCAGCCCAGGTCCTATGGGGCCCCAATCCACAATCACTGTACTGGTAGGTTGAGCTGAGGTCTGTCCTTCCATATCAACAAGTGATTGAGCCTTGATGTAGATATTAAAAGGGGCGGGGGGGAGAGCCCTATGGCACTCTTCAAAGCAGGGATCTAGGACACGACTCTGCCCTCAAACTGACAGAAACCTTCAGACTTAAGAGGAAGAACAGGAACATAGTGCCCTCTATACCCAAGCTTGACCAGGACATCTTGAATAGTATGAAAAGCTGTAACGTCACCAAGGGCCAGGATGGATACACTACCCCCATCCACAAATCAAGGATGACCAAGTTGTTTCAGTACTGTACCAGGTTCTGAAACCTGATTGCCACCTTCGGAACTGTAGTCTGATCACATTCTCCATTTTTTTCCCAAGAAAAGCCTGGAGATTGGATGAAAATTGTCCAAATCACAGGGATCCAGCAGCGGTTTCTTGAGGTGGAGACTCTTATCTCTTTCAGAGTTGGAAGGACTATCCTCTCTCAAGGAAGCATTTACCATTGCAAGGATCTACCCACATGCCTCTCCCTGGGGGCCTTAACCAAGCAGGAGCAGGGGTTGAAAATACAGATTAATTTTAGTAACAAATGAGTCTAGTATCTAGACGTCTATGATTCTCTGAAAAGACTGCCAAGTATATTTTGCAAACCATGTTTATCTATGGAACTAATGTACACACTATACTGAACTGCTTTATTCTTCCCTCAAATTCAGAACACAACATTCAGCAATAAATGTGTTAAAATCTCTTTTCCTAAAATAAAATAAAACTAATTTTATTAAAACAAATAGAAGTTTTATTTGTTTACAATGTAGTGTAAAACTATGTTGGGTCATAAATCAGTAGATATCTCCATGTTTAATTTCACTTTTTAAAGATAAATACAGACAGAATACACGTTTTAAAAATGGCAATTAATGATCACTTCCCACAAATCCAGGTACAATGCAGTTGTATCAGAAAGACAGAGTGGAATTACAATTATATTATTGTTACATTAGATGTCATTTTTGCCATTTCTTCAGGGGAATGGCTTATAACTTCTTTGATAAACTGTTCGAGTGCAGTAAAGTAGCCTTGGCACTGCCAAGTGTCATTATGAGTTCCATCTGGAAATATTGCCAATCTTTTAGTCCGAGCAGGGGAAAGTTCATAAAGTTGCTTCATCATAACTGGAGGAATCAATTGGTCAGCAAGTCCAGAAATGAACAGTGAAGGCATCCTGCACTGAGATATTTTTCTATAAGATAGGAACTTGTTCTTATAGCACCATAAAGGAAGGTACCTCATAGGGAAGAAAGAAAACAGAGTGCTGGCCATATGTGGGATACTAAGGAATGTATTCTCCACCAAGATGGCAGAAATCCTATGAGAATTTTCAGAGGCCAAGTGAATAGCTACTGCTCCCCCCAATGAACGACCAAAAAGAAAAATTTTTGTCTTGTCCAGATCTGATCTAGTCATCACATAGTCTAGAACAGCCTCAGAATCTAAATAGATGCCATCCTCACTTGCTTCTCCTTCACTCTTCCCATAGCCTCTATAGTCAACCAATAATAAATTTACTTTCAGGTTTACCAGCATCAATAAAGCATTTGGTAGTCGATGCCCAATGTTGCCTGCATTCCCATGAAAATAAATGATAGTAGGAGAATATGAGGAATTATCACCTGTGAATCTGAGAAGAATGAGGTTGAGCAACACACCATCTTTGGTTTTGATAAAGATATTCTCATGTGGGATGCCAGTAGGCATGGGAACATAGAGTCGTGATGAAGAGGGTTGCTCAGGGAAATAAAGCAACACATCCTGGAATTTATATAATATACCTGTGATAGATACAAATATTAACAGAGGTAAAATCAGGCCACCATACAAATGAAAAGTCACTATCAAAGGTAAGAGAGAAATACGGCAGACACCCCAGGACCATGACACCAAAGCAAGCAGCCATTTTTCAATGGAAGTCCAAAGCATCCATGATTTTTCCATTATAGTAGCCAATGAATCTCTAGTCCACATGAATCCTGAAAGAAGAAAATACACTTAAGCTTAAAACAACATGAACCAAAAAAGTAAAGCAAAACAAATGGTAAGCATAATATATCAGATTGCTCTGATAATAACTGAGCAATGTTTTTGAAAAATAAAACAAAATAAGTGTCTCATCTAAGGCACTTGAAAAGTATATAACAAATTAATAAGAAAATTAAACTAATTTAAAAATTCATAAATAAAAGACAGAGAAAATAGAGGAAAGGAAGGTTGATAGCTTCAGCGCTTTGTCTCCTTGGGCTTCACTGAAGTCTTCTAAATCAAGGCAAATTTAATTTGTTCTCTTCCTCCATTCACCCCAAAAGAGAAACCCAATTTAATTAGATTTAATCAAAATTCCATCATTCAAATCCATGTGCAGACATACCAGCTTGCAGCAGCAATTAAAATTCCCTAGTTGGCAACTCAGAGCCATTACTTAATGTATAAGGGCAATATTGTGTTCAATATTGGTTTTGCTCTAGTATGAAACTAGAAAGGAAACTTCACTGCCTGCCATACAATCTCAACATGTGATGGTCTTTCTTTGGCTATGCCTTAACTGAAAATACTTCTACAATTGGGACAGCTGATTTTTATCAACTCCCCTCCTATTCTTCCTTTAGCACATTACACTGTGTTCTAAAGATTGAAAGGATGGGTTACAAAAGAGATGATCTTATACGAAAATATGCTGTCTAAAATTTTTTCAAAGGAATTGCAAACTAGAACACAAAATATGTTAAGTAGAGAAAACAGGGCAGTGTAATGCTTTTGATTCGAAGTGCTTCCCCAAAGACATGAGAATAGCCTTGAGTCCTTTAATGACACAGATAGGTGCAATGTTTGTACTTCTACATGTTCTGAAGAACTTTCCAAAACACTGTGTGTGTGTATAATTTATTACTTGAAGGTAAGATACAAGATCTTGTGAGATACAAGATACACAATGGTTGAGATCAGAAAGTGCTGTAGGACAAAGGAATGCAAGTGAAGAATCAGGATAACACAGATGTCTCCAAACTTGGCAACTTTAAGAGTTGTGGAGCTGGCTAGAGAATTCTGGGAGTTGAAGTCCACAAGTCTTAAAGTTGCCAAGTTTGGGGACCCCCGGGGATAACATCACAGCTCATATAAGTATTCAATTGCAGATGAATAACATCTTTTTGTAATAGGTTGGTTATGGTCTTCTACCAAAACCCCACATTGGCTGGGTCAATATAATACTTTAAACAAAATAAAATAAGCCACATTATGACTAAGTGCTGCATTAAGTATAATTTAGAAAGTATAATTTCTTTAGTTGCTGTGCTAATCTAGAAATTGTGGCTCTTTAATAAATTATGGTCAACACAATTAATAAAATATATACCTACACTAGCCATTCCATTTATCAAGAAAACAGCTGTGGGAACTCAAAATCCTACTTGACATGTTTAGGTAGTAGCTAACTCCTCACTTTTATGCAACACCATTCTAGTTTATAACTTAGGTTTAGATAATTCTGCCATCCAAGACCTAAGTGTTTCTTCAGCCTTCTGTATCTTGTGGTCACCTCTCTTCCTGCAAACTCAATAGAGATCATGGCTGGGACAAGGACATACAAGCGAATCCCCTTTAGATCCTCCCATTTATGCCGAAACTGGCACAGCATATAAAATATAAGACACACATTCTAGACCGGGGTGTCAAAATGACATCGTCATGGTGATGTCACATGACATATTGGATTTTTCCCTCCTTCGCTAAACTGGGAATGGGTGTAGCCAGCACGTGACGCATCCAGCCCATGGGCTGGGAGTTTGACAGACCTGCTTTAGACTACTAAGCATATAAATCTAAAAATGGATAAGCCATGGAAGTCAACCCTGCTTGCTTTGTAGGGCAGATTTCTAGGCCAGCAAATATTTGCACTGATTTTAAAAAAAATCTATAGGGGAAAAAAAACACTTTTTCAAACTTGGGGGGGACAGAAATATGTAAGATAACTGAAACTCTTTTCTACTTTTAAAACTTCCACAAAGCCATGTGTTCTTCCAAAAGTGATGGTTCCTTGAGGAATGAAAACAATCTTCACTGATGCTTGATAGAATGGTTATGTTACAATCTCACCTACTATATTTCAGGTGTAAAATTTCTAACTTTGAATCATATCCAAACACAGATGAGAAAATGACAGATTTTGATGACACAAGCTGTCCTATTAAGCTTAAGCGATTATTCATCTTTACATCCTTTCTCTTAACATCCCATTTGTGTTGCATTTTTTTAAACTATAGACCTGAGGGTATTTACTGACTTCAATTAACACATAAGCTATTCTAGCAGCCTTCTAGGTTAAACAGCAGCACATTAACATTTTTAAATAGATTAGTAAGGTTCTTCAGTAGAAGCGTAATAAGTGCTGAACCTGTAGAACTGATTCAAAGAAATTTTAAAAAACCATGATCATACAGTAAGATCTATACTAGCATAATAATCATTATGCATAAAGTTTTATGGCCAAATCTATTTACTCTAATTTTGACAAAAGCTGCTGAAAAAAAACTTCCAAGGCTACCAATAAAATCTACAACCAGATAATGGTTTGATCCAAAATAGAATAAGCAAAACTATAGCCATGCAGCAGAGTTTCCTGTCCAGCCCACTTGCAGCTTCTTAATCTCCTAAAAAAGCTTATATTGTAAAGTACCCAGAGTCACTTAAGGTGATATAGAAATGTGATGAATGGTTTGAGAATCAGATGGCCATTCCAAGTGCAGTATCCTTATATCCCTCAAACCAGGTGCTTACAGTCGAGGGACCATCAAGAATAGCATTGGAATAGATTGCAGTTGGATCAAAGAACCAGGAAATGCATTGATGTGCTTTTATTTTGAATCACACAAACTTTAACCAATATCATACAGAAAAATACTTTAGATACACAAATGCTTTAGTCTAATGACAGACCAAAAACAACCTGAGGAAAATATCACAAACATCTCATCATTCAGGAATCTAGAAACATTATATCAGCACCCATGAATTTGAAACTCCTACAAGGTTGGTACTTAAAAGCGTAATGATGGTTTTGTGCAAAAGATAATTAAACTGCCTCTCAGAAGTACTACCTTCTCATTTGGTTTTCTTAGATTTAATTTTTTATCAAATTTCTAACAAATATGTTAATCAGGATTGACAAGAAAAAAAAACCTTATACATTATAACCTTGCACATTAAAAGTAATAGTATTTCAGCCTTATTTCAAACTATTATAAACTACTACCATGGTTGCATTCATAGAATTTTAAATGCCTGATTTCATTGGGACTACTTTATTTATCATCCATCTGTGCCCTTATCTTGGAAGCGAACAACTGCAACAGTAATATTAATTTTACAGTATTTTAGTTGTGGTTTTTCTTCACTCGTTTAAAAAAATAATCATACAGTTGATTCTTGTCATTATTCCAGCCCTGCAAAATATATGCTTAAGATGTTGCTTATCCTGTATTTGTTCCATGGTAATAATAAATGACAAAGAGATGAAAATTTACCAGTAACGAGTGACAAAGAATCTAGATTTTTAAACAAACTATTCTGCAGATTTCATTAATTTTTCAGCTGTTAAGCTTGATGTGTTTAACCTGCAGCATCATGGGAATAATTTAACTGTTCCCTGAAAATTGAACTCAAAAGAAAATAGGCAGACTCAAAAACATAGATGGAAATAAGATACCCTTCCTACTTTCTCATATTTTTTCAATTTCTAGAATATTAAGTTAATGTTCAGCTTTGGGCTAAATAAACAAGTCAGATTCACAAACCATATTGGAAATTGATTTATTTGAAGCTGACCAGCTTGTTTTACAGGACAAAAAATGGTTTCTAGATCATACTACCTTCAAATTTATTATATAAAACAATGTTACAAAATCACTTTTACCATAGGTTTAGAGTTATAGCACATAAGTCTAAGGTTTCAAATCAAATTTGTTGCAGACTTGGAAATACTTTTTGCGTGCCTTTCAATCTGCTTTACCACAAAATCTTTAAAAATGTATTCTTAAATTTTTAAATCAATGATTCTAATTTTTAGCATTGGTGGTATTCTGAAGTTAACATTAGTGAAAATCTTGGAAGAAATATCAACAGATATGCTCTATATAATATAGAAGAACAATACACTTATGTTTTACAATAGCATGGAGAAGATAGTTTAAACTGGCATATAAAAAAAACATGGAAAAAACCAAACTATACCTTATATATCCACTAATGGTATCTCAACAGTGCAAATTGCTTTAATTCACTCATAATGCATTTGTGATATAAATGAATATCAAAAAGGCTTTGATGTGCTTGTTTGTGTACACTAAAGGAAGCCTATTGTATTTCTGAAAGAAGCCAAGTATTTTTCCAGACCTAAATAATTTCTGGGTATGAATGAAGATATTTATTAGCAATCTAATGTAATGTACATAAACAATCCAGGTATAAAATTTGGCACTAACTGGAGAAACTACACGGTAATATATGCTAATAGAAACACAAAAGGCAGCCAATGCATTCATACCTAACGATCAACTTCGTGAAGAAAATGTCTCTTACATAAGCCATCTCTTTTCAACTTTAGATCAGGAACTGTTTTATAACAAAGAATTCCCACAGGATTTAGAAATGGAGCTAGGACAGAAAATAAAGAAGTTCAAGCAGTCACTATTTCAATTACTGTACTACTATATTTGTGTTGAAATGACCTTGCTGTTCACACAAATCCTACTTAAAGGCGTTAAATATTTCAGGAAGCTTTTCTTTTACTGTTTAGTTAGTAAGCCCTAAAAAAAAAAATGTGACCGACTAGTAAGAACTACACCGTCCCCCGCTTTTAGAAGCTGAACCAGCCCTTCTTCACCCAGCTCACTGCGGAAACTACAAGAGGCAGTAACAATCCCTTTCCCAACCTGATCTATTACCAAAGGTCGACAGTCTGCTCTTCCAACGTAGGCTTGGCTTAAGAAGCAATCGTGGGGGCAACTCGGATAGGCAGAGGCTAAGGTAAAACAGCCTAATCTCTTACCTAGGGCCAACCTTTCCCAATCCGGGGCAGCCCACAAAGTCCAGCCTCCCCAGCCATCCACGGTCATTTAAGGCAGGGGTCTCCAGCCGTGGCCGCTTTAAGCCTGGCGGACTTCAACTCCCAGCTTCGCTGGCTGGGGAATTCTGGGAGTTGAAGTCCGCTTAAAGCGGCCACGGCTGGAGACCCCTGATTTAAGGGACGAGCCCTATTTCGAAACGCCGCTCCTTTTCAAAAGAGAGACCTGGCGGCGCCCGAGGCCACCTGGAGACGGCTCTTTCCCCCACCTAAAAGAAAGAAGACAGCGGCGGCGCCCCTCCGCTTCCTAGCTAAGCGCTCAGGCCTCTGGCCCGAACCAGAGGAGTCTCAGCACACCAACCTCATCGCTGGCCAGGACGGGATACTCTGCACCCCATCCTTCCTCCTCTTGGACCAGGCTCGACTGGCTCAGCAGTCACTTCCGGGAAACCGAATCGATCACGTCACAAGTGCTTCCGGGCGACGAGGACGGATCTTCTTCTCGAACTGAGTGAAAGAGCGCTGCGCTCCAAGTTCGTGCAGCAGAAGCAGAAGGGCTTCTCGGAGTCGAGGGTAGTCTAGCGTTCCTGTTTCTATGGCGACTTCCGAACCGTTCCTGTGAAATTCCGGAAGCAGCGCTTTTACTAGGCCGCGGTTCGCCGTGGATTGAGGAGGAGGTGCCGTTCTTCCCGGTTACCGTAGCTTATAATCTGCCGGTGAGGATACATTTGGGCACATATCCCATGTACTCGTGAATAAGCCAACACTAGAATTTTTAACCAAAGTAGCGTGAAAACCGGGCCACCTACTAATTTCTCTTAATATTCATATTTGGCTTCTCTGCGCGTGGTTTATTTTTGGGTTAAATTTCCCAAACGTGACAGCTCTAAGACTTGTGGACTTCAACTCCCAGAATTCCTGAGCTAACATGACTGGAGGAGGAATTCTGGGCGTTGAAGTCCACAAGTCTTAGAGCTGTCAAGTTTGAAAACCCCTGATTTACAGTATCTGCGGACTGACTTACTCGTAAACATATACACCGGTATTTTACTTTAAAATATAACCTTATATACTTGTGGATACATTCATCTACGAATAAGCTGGACCCATTTTTTTCTGTGTATACTTTGACCCTTTAAATGTTAGGCTTATGCGTGAGGTATGTACAGGGACTTACAACTGGGTTGCTGAGTGATTGGAGTTACAAGAGACCCCTTCAGATTCAAAGTGTTGAAGGCTGCCTCTCCCCCACCCCATTGGGCACATGACAACCAGCCTTCATTTATGGTGGTTTGAAGTGGCCTGCAGTCTCATGACTGTGGTATTTTTGCCAAAACTGGTTTTATTTCGGGTTTCTGGCAAAGAATGCTCCATAGTAAACAATGGGTTTGCTTAATTAACCTCCATGCTTGCTTAGCAATTGCTGCAAAAGCCATAATATGGGGGGCAGTCCTGTGATGACACAGTTGACGCCCATCATGACTTATGACCATAACTGCAACTTCAATTTTGGGGATAATTTGAGGGCTACCTGTATAGTACCTGTATGTTGTGGAGCAGGGGTCCCCAACCACCGGTCCACGGACCGGTACCGGTCCGTGGAACAAGTCCTACCGGGCCGCTGGCTTGCTGGGCGCCGCCATCTTGTTTTGATGAAAAAGTGCTTCCGGTGAGCTTTTCCGGGTAGAAAGCTCACCGGAAGCACTTTTTCATCAAAACAAGATGGCGGCGCCCAGCTGATGTCGGTACCGGGCCGCGCCATAAAAAAGGTTGGGGATACCGGGCCGTGGCGTAAAAAAGGTTGGGGATCACTGTTGTGGAGGACTGCTGGAAATGGGTCAAAAGCTGTACCCACCCCTGCTAATTAGGCAATATTGTGCTTGATCTTGCTAGCCCCAACCCTGTTGGCTTTTCTCAAAGCTTTAAAAACCCTGCTATATACCCAGACCTGGGACTTGGAATGTGCTAAAGGGCTCCATTACTTGGCTTTACTATTAGTTGATTAATCATCGCAGCTGCTGTTTATATACTTATTTATTTTGTGAATGTTTTTATGGTTTTAATATCTTTAAATTGTTTTATAATTTTAGAATTCTAAGCTGCTCAGAGTCACTTGGTTGAGTTGGGCAGGTATAGAAATTGAACAAACAAGCCTACCACAGCTAAATGAGCAATATTATCCTGGGAGTACTGGCAGTTAAGAATGCCTCCTCTTCTCCCAACAGTTCTTGATCCCACAGAACTGGGATAGGAGAATTGGTGGTTAAAGAGCAACTGCCCAGACATGCTTTTCTTGCCATTCCTCCTTAATGAGATCTGTTGCCTGAGATCAGTTGCCAGATCTGGCAGAGTTGGCACAAACTGTTGGATGCATGGCTGATTAACTCATTCAGTGAGTCCAGATTTTCCTACCAAAAGGCAAATGGCCCTGAAGATCAGTAGGCAAGGATTGGGCAAGGACATATGCACAGCAGCCTCTGGCTATCACACCAATGTTATCTTGATACAAGATGAAACAGGTAGTTGACAGGGCACAGCTTCTGCCAAAAGAAGCTGAAAATCTAACGTATATACCATGGATTTAAAATATTTAAAACTGGAACAAGAAAACATGTATTCAGGGTGCATTCTCTGTGGGTCAGAATGTGTTAACTTCTCATCCTCCAAGTAAGTTGCTTGTTTCTCTGATCTGCAGTTAACAGGCTCTGGGAATGATAAGTTTGATGTAGTTTGGTGGTTCTGGTTTAGAAACCATGAGAGACTGAGTTCTCCCTTGGGCATAAAAGATGACTAGGTGACTTTGAAGCAGTCACTATCAGTTCAGTCCACCTCACAGAGTTGTTGTGGGGAACAGGTGTATTAGATATGCTTTCTGTGTTGAGTTATATATACAAAAGCAAGACAAAAATATAAGTCCTTAGAAGACAAATCTGGTGTGGCAGATTGTGTTGGTTTATTCTCCCAGTCTGGCCAGTGCCGAGTCTAGGCAGCATTCTATGTTTCCACCAGAGGTGGCAGTCCTGGTAGGAGAATTAGAATCCAGTACTGTATTCTCCTTTGCAGGTTGACCTAGCACAGTGTGGACCCAGTTGCTCTAGGTTAAACTCCTGGCTATCTCCATCTGCTCTCTTTCTGAGTAGCAGAATTCTGTTGGATCAGCACCTTCAGGGCAGCAGGATAATTGACTCTATTTTTTGTTTCTTCATTAGATTTTTATCCTGCCTTTATTACTTTTTAGATAACCCAATAGCAGTAGCATTTAGACCTATATACAGCTTCACAGTGCTTTACAGTCCTCTCTAAGCGGTTTACGGAGTCAGCCTATTGCCCCCAACACTCTGGGTCCTCATTTTACCAACCTCTGAAGGATGAAAGGTCGAGTCAACCTTGAGCCGGGGAGAATTGAACTGCCAAACTGCAGTCAGCAGAAGTAGCCTGCAATACTGTACTCTAACCTCTGTGCCGCCGCCATTTAAGATGGTGAACAATATGCTACTCCCTCCTGTGATTTTCCCAACAACAACAAACCCGTGAGGTGGATTGTCTTGAAAGAGAGTGGTCCAAAGTCACCCAGCAGGACTAGATTCCAGTCTCCTGGTTTCTAAGCCAGCATCTTAACCACTGCACCAAACTGTCTCTCTAGGACTAAAGATGCTGGATGCAAAAAGAAAAGAATACAAACAGAGCAAGCTGCCTGTAGAGGTCCCTTCATCACCTGCTGCCATTGTATCACATTAAACATTAAAGTTTGATGACTTGCAAAAGACTTTGGAGCACTCTGGTGAGGTCACATGTAGCTCTATGTCTCAATTAGTACACTTTTCCTTTATAATCAGTGTTGTCTCAGTTTTCCTCACTGTGTTGCCATGTAGTGCTATTATACAGCAAAATCAACTTCAAAGGTAAAATAAATGAAGACTATAAAGTTAGAATAACTGGATATGAAAAGAAACATTATAGTAAAAATAAAATGGGAAGGTTCTTTGCTTACAGAGTATATAACACTGCAGCCTAAAACTCTTTTATTTAGTGTCTCGGGTGGCATTTGGCGTTGCCCTCGTACTTCATCTGATGATATTCTGATTACCAGTAGAACATGTTTCTAACCACATATAGATCACTATGGCATAGCTGGACCCAGAGAGTAACACTAAATGTATTACTTTGAGTTTAACATTCATTATGTAATGTCAAGTATACAATTAATTCACGGTAAAACCATAAGTAAAAATGTTCAACTAAAAAAAGCTATGTATTTGTAATTTCTTTGGTTGTTTCTTTTCGCAGAGGAAAAAACATCCAAGATGGCTTCAGTCTCCACTTCACATTCATCTTCCAAGCTAACTGTAGCATCACAAGTCCCATTTACGGATCTCTGTTCAACATTAGAACGGATACAGAAGTCCAAATCTCGATCAGATAAAACAAAATATTTCAAGGATTTTCTAGCTTCCTGGAGGAACTTTCATGATGCTCTTCATAAAAATGAGAAGGACGTGATAGATTCTTTTTATCCTGCAATGAGGCTTATTCTTCCACAATTGGAAAGAGAGAGGATGGCTTATGGCATTAAAGAAACAGTGCTTGCTAAGCTCTATATTGAATTGCTAAATTTACCCAAAGATGGAAAAGATGCTTTAAAACTTTTAAATTTTCGAACACCCACTGGCTCACAAGGAAATGTTGGAGACTTTGCTATGATTGCCTACTTTGTTTTGAAATCAAGATGCATCAACCAAGGTCAACTGACCATACAACAAGTAAACGATCTTCTAGATTCTATTTCTAATAATAATGCTGCCAAAAGGAAGGATCTAGTTAAGAAGAGCCTTCTTCAGTTAATAACTCAGAGCTCAGCACTAGAACAGAAGTGGTTGATCAGGATGATCATAAAGGATTTGAAACTTGGTGTCAGCCAGCAAACCTTATTTTCTGTTTTCCATCCTGATGCTGCAGAACTACACAGTGTCACAACAGATTTGGAAAAAGTTTGTAGGCAGCTGCATAATCCTTCGATATCACTTAGTGATGCTTCTATTTCATTATTTTCTGCCTTTAAGCCAATGCTTGCTTCTATTGCCAGTATGGGCCAAATTGAGAAACAAATGAATAATCAGGCTTTTTACATAGAGACCAAATTAGATGGTGAACGAATGCAGATGCACAAAGATGGAGATGTTTACAAATACTTTTCCAGAAATGGATATGATTATACTCAGCAGTTTGGTGCTTCTCCCCTCGAAGGTTCATTGACTCCTTTCATTCATCAGGCCTTTAAAAATATTCAAAACTGCATTCTGGATGGTGAAATGATGGCCTATAATCCTACCACCCAGACTTTTATGCAGAAAGGAAGCAAGTTTGACATTAAAAGGATGGTGGATGATTCTGAATTACAAACATGCTTCTGTGTATTTGATGTTCTTATGGTCAATGATCAAAAGTTGGGTCATGAGATGCTGAGCAAAAGATGCCATATATTAAATACGATTTTTACCCCAATGCCTGGTCGAGTACAGATTGTTTCTAGAATTCAAGCAAACACACAGAAAGAAGTAGTGGATGCCCTAAACGAAGCCATTGATAACAGAGAAGAAGGAATTGTAATAAAAAACCCCAGGTCAATTTACAAGCCAGATAAGCGTGGGGAAGGATGGCTGAAGATCAAGCCAGAATATATCAGTGGGTTGATGGATGAACTGGACCTTTTAATTATTGGAGGCTACTGGGGCAAAGGTCTTCGTGGTGGCATGATGTCTCATTTTTTATGTGCGGTTGCTGAGACTCCTTTGCCTGGTGAAAAACCATCTAAATTCCATTCCATTTGTCGTGTTGGTTCCGGCTGCACTATGAAAGAATTGTATGATCTTGGCTTGAAATTAGCCTCATATTGGAAAAAATATGATAGGAAGGTTCCCCCTTGTAGTATCTTATGTGGTGTTGAAAAGCCTCAAGCCTATATTGATCCTTGTAATTCAGTGATTGTCCAGATTAAAGCTGCTGAGATTGTGAGTAGTGATATGTATAAAACAGAATGCACATTACGTTTTCCACGCATTGAAAGAATAAGGGAAGATAAAGAATGGTATGAATGTATGACTCTTGATCATCTGGAACAACTCAGAAGTAAAGCTTCTGGGAAGCTTGCAACAAAACACCTTGATATAGTTGAGGATGAACCACAAGAAAAGAAGCGTAAAACTCTGGCAAAAATTAAAAAAATTGGTTTAATGGATCATTTTAAAGCACCGGATCTTTCTAAAATACACAAAGTTTCTAATATTTTTGAAGATGTTGAGTTTTGTATTATGACTGGGACACAAAATTATTCAAAGTGTGCCCTGGAAAGCAAAATAGCAGAATATGGTGGCAGCATAGTTCAAAATCCTGGGCCGGATACTTACTGTGTTGTGGCAGGGACTGAGAATGTTAGAGTGAAAAATATTATTTCTTCCAACATTTATGATGTTGTGAGAGCAGAATGGCTTTTACAATGTTTCCAAGCTGGAAAGTTTGTGCCATGGCACCCTGGTTTTATGATTCACATGTCTCCTGAAACAAAGCAACATTTTGCTTGTGAATATGATACTTATGGTGATAGTTTCACAGCTGATACTGATCCACTAGAGTTGAAGGCAGTGTTCTCAAGAATTAATACCTCTGAAGAGATTTCTCAGGATGTGATTGCTGACATAGAAGCCCGATATTCTTGGGAAAGTTCCCTAAATATGTTCAGGCAACAAACCATTTACCTGAGCCTTTCTGATGAAATGAGCAATTCAAGGGACAGAATAAATCAAACCAGATGTTTAACCGTAGAGTTGATACTACGCTTTCATGGAGCAAAAGTAGTATCACAGCTTGAGGAAGGTGTATCCCATGTAATCAGTGGAGATCATTCTGATTTGAAGAAAATAAAAGCCATCAGAAGGACATTTAAGAAAAAGTTTAAAATTGTGTCTGAGCAATGGATAAAGGATTCTGTAAAAGCTGGAGCATTACAAAATGAAAACTTGTACATAATGTAAGGTTTTGATTTGTAAGAAAAATGTTGTTAGGATTGTGCAAAGCATTTGAAAGAAGGTGATTTGCAGTAACAGGAATGGGACTGACGTACATCTTTTTCAAAATAGCCGTGCTTTCTACAAGATGATGTGACTGTTTCCAAAGTTGCTTTCAGAGCGCACACTAACCTGGCAGAATGTGCTTTTTGAATGTGTTGCACAATTCCATTCTTTTAATATTCCAACTCTTTGAAAGTATGTGAATGAAAGAAAAAGATGCTCAGGGAACTAGGGTGATGATGATTTCTCAGTTTTATGTTTTTATCTGTTTTACCTAGCTTTTAATATATTTATAGGAAAGCCTGTGTTACTCAGTTATATCTATTAAAATGTACAGATCCTAAATAACTTTTATTGTTTGCAGCCAACAGGGCAAATTTCCAGTATTGCATGTGATTTCAGATGTTTGTTTTAAAAAGTGTTGTCTATCTAAATCTGTGTTTCATTCATGTTTAATGTATTGTTACAATGATGAATTTTTAAATGAATGGATTTGTATCCTCAAAATTCAAAACATCTATAATCTTAATTGCATCATAGGAGTGCTTTGCCTAGCAAAGAGGCTTTTAGTTTTACAAACATAATTAAAGTTTTAGCAAAAGAGAGTCCATGGATCTATTTTCTGAAACTTGAAAGGGCTGCTTTTCAATAATATAGCAAGAATAGTTTGTTTTGCACATATCTTCTTTTTCCATCATTCTGTAATAAATATTTAACATAATCAAATAATATATATATATTAAAACTCTGATTCTGTTTTGAAATAAGTAATTAGTTGAGAATATTTAATTTTATGTAGGTATATATTCAAGGTTATTTTGCTGACTGTGCAGTACAATTTCTAGTACTGATAATGTGTTTTATTACAAGATATTATACTAGGATTAAACATGCTTGGGATAAACAGATGTCCATCATCTGACAAATTTAAAGATTTTAAAAAATAATTAAAATTTTAATTAACTAATTTATTCTTAATTAAAAAGAAAAGGCTTTTCCAAAGAAAACAGAAGCCGGCAAGGGCGTGGTTATCCAGCATCCCTGAAGACCTCCATTGTCTACGCAAAAAGGCCTTTCCAAAGAGCATGGAAGCGTGTTTAAGAACACAAGATTTAAAGAAAACAGTTTCACCAGCATCTGAGAAGACAGCCACTTTTCTGCCACCTGGTCTTGAGCTCTGCTGAGCTTCAAAAGGTAGAAGGCCTGAATAGTGGTAAAGTATGAGATACATCAGAGAGTGCAGGGAGGCCTTGGATGGCTGGAAGCAGCTGGTTTTATTCCTGCACTAAGCCCCCATGGTCTTCCACATCCCTTAGGTACATCATTCACACTTAACGACCAGTGCATTCAATTAACAAATGCATTGGGGTGAGGGATGGGGCTCATTCATTCAACAGGATTCAATTAATGTTATGACCATAATGGGCAGTCTCCATTACACTTGTAACTTGAGGAGTACCTGTAGTTGTGTTTCTCAAGAGGTAGTGAATATGGGCAATGTATGTGCAAGAGGCAGTAGAATATGGTAGTTTTGATGGTTGTGGAAAATGAGTTAATAGGAATTATGGAAAGGACTAAAGGAACCAACTTCAAAGCTAATGATAAAGAAACCTGACACTGTTAAAAAAAGACACAGTAAGAAAGAGAAAAGCCTGTATTATACTACCTAGAAGGGGTGAGGGGACAACAAAATAAACCCCAACCTCCTAAAAATGGGAAAATTAAACCCTACCTAAACAAAACTAACAATTTATTATTCCCAAATTATATCTAGTTCTGTATAATTTAAACTACATAGATGAGGAAATAGGCAATTGGCATGTAAACGTTAGAGATGAGCCAAAGGGGAGGAGGTGACAGGTTGACAGAAGCCAGAGGTGTGCCAGTCAGCCTATTCCAGTTTTCAAGGCTGCAAAGCCTGAGGAAGGAATGTGAACTGCACCAAGTGGCTCCAAACATCTGAATAGTTCCCAAAAACACATATGCAGCACATCATTGGACGAAGACAAACTAGACAAGGGGAGAGGGCCAGGGAGAAAGGGGAACACTTTGTGTGGGAACTTTAGTTCTAGCCTACTTTCATTGTAACCACTAATCCTTTTGTAAAAGAAGTTATCGCTTCAACCAAATGGAGTTGAGGGTCTTTCTTTCCAGCAGACCTAGCTGAGGCAGGTCTGACACAGTTGAACACCCAGGGTGGTTTTGTTTGGCACATGGCCAAACAAGAAAAAAAGATAAAGGTGCCAAATTACCAAGAGGAGGCTGTAGGTGTCTGAAGGTTTCATATCACTTGACACTGTACACAGAGGTGATTGTGGGGTTACCAGCCCCGCTATTTTGCCAGTCTGCTACAGTTGCCAATAAATGTGAGTTTGATCTCTTAAAAAAATTGTGCATACTAAAACATCAGTTTGGTATCTTTGGGAGTATTTGTAATAGAGAATTGTGGTAGTATACAAGATGAAGCTCATGTTATCCCAACAGTCAATCTCTTTAATATTTCAGACTATAATAAGATTATTGTAGCACGTATTTAAAAGGCGGGTTTTTTTTTTCTTGTAGCTATTGAAACTTTGCCTCTTGAAGTTAGAAATAATACAGCAACATGTACAAGGAAAAAGAGAGGAACCTTTATATTCATATGCATTCTAAGTAATGTCTTTCCCCTCTGGGATTCTCAGATCTATATAAAATAAAGTGAAAAACCAATATCATTATTCTATGCGCAGTTTACATTTAGAAGATCTACCAGTAGATAGCCCTGCAGAAAAGGTGTTAAATTCTCATGAAGATATCTATGGAATGTAGAATCATAGAGTCATAGATGTGTATGGGATGTCCTCTTAACACTATGGCTGTAATCACACTGCACACAGTAATCAACCAAATTCAGTTTCATTATTGGTATAATTGAGAATAAAGACTCAATTTTCTAAAGTGCAAGGAGTTTATCTGATAAAATAAAATGTAGTTAAACCATTAGCCCTATTTTCTGCAGGTGCGCAACAAAATGAATGAAAAATTGCTGTAATTGCTTGGCTAGGTTGGTATATGTCATTAAATCAGGCACAATTCACGTAACAACTCTGTTGCTCAGCAGTGGAAATTCTGGTTCCAATTGTGGTTGTAACTTGCGGAGGACCTGTGTAATGAGTCATAGTAGTTCAAAGTCGGCAAAAGAAGAAATTGCTACTTAATTTGAAGCAGTGGACCTGAATATGTTGTTTTTATTAGCATTTGAATTATTTTTTCTTTTCAGCAAAAAGGCAAGGAAAACATCTTTTAGCAATCAATTTATTTGACTTCTGTTTATAACGTATTTCATATTACGTCTACTGTTATATTTCCTATATTTATCTGTTAATTAGTTTGATACAGAGGTGGTATTCAGCAGGTTCTGACCAGTTCTGGAGAACGGTAGTGGAAATTTTGAATAGTTCAGAGAACCAGCAAATACCACCTCTGACTGGAGATTTTACAGTATCCTTCCCCTGCCACACCCAACAAGCCACGCCCACAGAACTGGTAGTAAAAAAAATGTAATCCCACCACTGGTTTGATATAAAATGTATTTGGTATAATTAAATCAAAAATTTACATTGTATTGCTCTCATTTTCCAAATCTAACATTACATGACATTACATTTTACGGCCATGTTGCATAGCCACACAAATTCCATCTCCAGTTACTGTCATTAAGTGAGTGCTACATGGTCCTGGAAACAATTGCAATGAGTGACTTTAATGAGTCACAGATAGGAGGAGCTGTATTCACACTCCTATACATTCCTGTTTCCAGCATTGAGAAAAGCGAGAGATAAATCTTTGGTAGTGAAGCACTGTCTTGCAAATTCCAAGCAAAGTTGCATACTATTTTTTCAGGTCAGCTTTCTCCAGCTTGCAGAATATACAATATAAAGAGAATGGTCTTGTACCAGAGTCACAAGTAGCTAACCTTTTCATTCATGTTGCTGACTTTGTTCTTTAAGGTTTCCTCCAGATCATGTATTTCAGATGTCCCTGTAGAATAGTCTTTAGCCATCAACTTAGATTCCTTTCTAAAGCTTTTCATTTGTGTTATCTGATGTGAGTTGTACACTACAGTAGGGATAGTGTCCATTAAGAATAACTGCAGAGGTTTCTTTTTCTCTTGGTAGTGACATTGGATGTAACGTACAAAAGCGGATCGGTAGGTTTTACTGAATAATGTATATATAAGCGGGTTGACTGCTGAAGAAAGGTAGCCAATCCAAACAAAAATGTTAAGCAGATCCTCAATTACATCTTTATCACACACCTCTTTGCAAAAAGCTACCATTATATTTGTGATGAAAAAAGGACACCACATTACCACAAACAGGAAAAAGACAATTCCAAGTACCTTGGATGCTTTCTGTTCATTACTTATTGATTGCATCTTTCTCCTCCTAAAAGTTCCTGATTCTTTGTTCAGAGAGTGTATAGAATGTTTCTTCAAAGAAAGAGAACTTTGAGGAAAAAACCTGAATGAGCCAAACTTAGCTTTTGAATCAAGATCATTCATGCATAATGTGGCTTCTTTTTGAAGGGATTTTATAGTTAAAAAATAGGTGATCACCATGATAGTAAGTGGAATAAAAAATGCTACAAAAGAACCAATTAAAACAAACTTCTCATCCACAAGAGCGCAACTTCCATTCTTGAAAACTTTAGAATCATCGCGGAATCCAAATATAGGAATTGGCATTGAAATACCTATATGTTTAGTTAAAAAAAAAAAGATAAGTACTGTCATTTTCACTTTTAAAAAATATGTCATTCTGTGATGTACTACGATGGGTGCCCACTCATTCCCAATAACATTCCTGGACATAAAGATCAGACCATCCCTGCAGAGCGTGAATTTGCTTCTTTGAAGTTTGTCACAGCTTATTTGGTAGAAGCAAGAAACAAATGTACCATCTTACAAATAGAAGTGAAAGGTTTTGGCTTTGGTAGTAGCTACAAGCACTGTGTGTAAACCAGAGGTCTCCAAACTTGGCAACTAAGACTTGTGGCCTTCAACTTCCAGAATTCTCCAGCCAGCAGCTGGCTGGAGAATTCTGGGAATTGAAGTCCACAAATCTTAAAGTTGCTAAGTTTGGGGACCTCTGGTGTAAACTCTACAAGGACAGATTGGAAAACCACTTGAACAAATTGCTGAATTCAAAAGTCCCCAGCAACACCAATGTTACATGTTAGAATTTCAATTCAGAAATGTGAATGTTTATTAGTTCATTAGCTTTTGTTGCGGGGGGGGGGGGAACAACCATAAGATTTTCCTGTTTGGCAGGTTTAATAATATAGGCAGCACTCATTCAATGACATTCATTCAGCAACCATTTAAAGTTATGATGCTGCTGAATGGGGTGAAACTAATAGCCATTCCTTGTAGTTGCAGCCAATTGCAGCATCCCCAAATTTGTATGATCATGAGTTGGGTGCTTGGCACCCAGCTCACAATTACGATGGTCATGACATCCCATGGTCACCATTTTTAAACTTCCCAGCTGCTTTCCCACAAGAAAAATGATGGGGAAGCTGGCGGGAAGTCACAAACAGAGATCCCATAATTCTGGAACACTGATTGCACAGGATTACTTAACAACAGCAACTGAAAAGGCTGCAACTGTCATTGTAAGCTGATGCGGTCATATGACATTGTGCTTTCCGAACACTCTGCTCAGCAATGAAACTGCTAGTCACATTTACCTTCATTAAGCAAGGACTACCTGTACTATATTGTTGTCCTAATGCATTCTCACACAGAACATAGAAATAATGCTGGTGTACCTTAGGAACCATGCATATATGTTTGCCAGCATATATACACTTGGAGACAAAGCATCTCCTCCTTCCGCAGTTGAGATCAGTGGGAAGAGGAAGATCATATCTTCCTATCAGCAAACTATTTTGATTACATAAAAATTATCACTTTGGGATGTGGTGACTACATTTTTTAAAAGCTCAGTTGTTTCTTCCATTCCTTACTTTCTTTTTAAGATCTAAGACTTTCTTTTAACACTCTCTCCATCAAAAACAGAACAAAGCTGTCCTTCAATGCTGTATGCTCAAACTGTACATATTTCATTCACTATTAATTATGTCTGCTGTGAATGATCAATGCCTACTCTTCTGGGCTATTTTGGTTTTGCACATATTTTATTTCCATGCATTCTATATATATAGCAAAAGGAAACAATGCTATCTATGCAGGACACAGCTAGAGAGAAAGACAATGTTCTAGTGCTCTGCATTAATGCACATGCCAATCAAGCACGCAAAACTGCATCTTCAGGAAAACATCACTTAATGAATAAACTAACAACAGTTATTGCAATTTTCTCTCAAAGTTATACCTCTGCAATTAACCCTCTTTTTCTTCTTGTATTACTTCTGTGGGTTTTTGTTGTTGTTTGTTTTCTGGGTCTCCTTGTATCCTTCTGAAAGGACATGCTAACTAAAAATGTTCCCCAAAAAGAAATTTTATGTCTTCATTGATGGTTATGATTAACCATATGCTTACAGCAGAAAGCAATAAGAAGACTCCCAAATGTTTAACTGATATGGGAATTAGTCTTTCATGTTCCAACCATCGTTCCATGCAGCAAAATTGACTTACTACTGTGGAGCAGTGTTGGGCAGTGTTGTTTCATGTGAAAAGTTCTTTGGATAATAAAGCTATTGGCCTGGGGTGAATTTACAAATTACTTTCCTGATAAATTGTTTTGTATCTATTTAGATTTGCATTTCACTTTATGACAAGTGTATTTTGAAGGGAAGACTCCATTTGAATTAAAACAGCAGTAGCAGCACATGAGCTTTTAAACTAAATCCTTGGGGGGGGGGGGTCAATGTAAAATATTGACAATTTAGTTCAAATTGAATTATTTTGGCATGGCATGGAAGTGAAAACATTTTTTATTGCCCAAATGGGATTAATAGTAATAAAAAGCAATGAAATGCAATAGAAAATATGGCATCAATCAAAGACATCAAAAGGCCTCAGATGAAAATGCACAGCTTTAGAGAGAGATTGGGATAAAGTTAAAATATTTGATGATAGCATAACACATAAAGATTGAACAACTCACCTATTGATACCATCCAAACAAGAGCAATTTTTGCCAAGGCCTTTGTTCTGGAGTTAAACCGGCTATGATGAATGGGATTTTGAATGGCAATATAGCGATCCAGAGATATGGCACAGAGATGCATGATGGACGCAGTAGAGAAGAGCACATCTAAATAAATCCACAGAGCACAGAGATTTCTGGGCAATGGCCACCTGTATTCTGTAACCAAGGAGAGTATTTATTAACTGTACAGCAGTTAGAAAGCTATATATACAGTATATTTCACTGATATGAAAGGTATTTTTGTTGTTATATTTTACCTCATCCATCTACAGATTTTTAAAAGTGGTCAGTCCGTGTCCTACTTATTCATCCAGGCTCTTTGAAGCTTCCATATCCAATTCTGAAGCCAGAGTTATCTAGATTTCACTGCGGCTGAAATGGCAGCAGATCTGCTAAATTTTAATGATACAATTGCCTTTGTACTCCCCACTCCCATCTTTGGACTTCTTTTAAATTGTATAGTTTGCACCAAACCTCCTTAAATCTTGGAGTGGGGCACATCAAACCCTATCCAGTGCTGATATCATATTTAAACTAATTGTATTTATATAATTTCTAATTTATTTGTTTTCAGCTTTTAAGGTAGCCTATTGAAACTACCATTAAAGAAATGTAAAATTGGAAGCGATGACACCAGTATCAGTCCAATGAATATTTCTGATGATAAATACTTAGGGCTTCCTTTGCTCTAGTGCCATTATTGCAACAATTCCCCTACCATGCTATGTTCCATTCAAATTAAATTTTAATTTATTAAAATATAGAGTACTGTTGTAAACCAGAAAAAGAGACCTGAAAAATATACAAATTACAAACATCCAATTTAAAAAATTGCTCAAACTTGAGACTAAAAATATCTAGAGTCCCTTCACATCAAGTAGGTTGCAGCTTTTATTGCAATGTGTTGAAATGTGGCTATCATTCTGGAAACTTCCTGGTTCAGATCATTTAGAAGGTAGTACACAGTTGTCAAGTGAGATTGATCTAAGCAGTTTCTAATGAGAAGGCAAACCAGTTGCACCCTCCAAAAATAAGACATTTCAGAAGTAGATGTGCACTACTGTGTCAGTCTCAGAATCTGAATAAATGCATAGATGTTAGGAGTAGAGAATACCATTACATCTTCTTGACAGTACCATTGTTGGAAGAATATCGAAAAATGCCAATGTGAAAACACTTCTATGTGATAAAAAATGATAAAAATACTAATGAAAATAAAGTGTGTGTGTGTGTGTGTGTGAGAGAGAGAGAGAGAGAGAGAGAGAGAGAGATCTTGTTATGACAAAGATGGGATATACAAATTTTATCTCCTTGTACATTGAGGTAAAATTTTCTTTACTAAGACTCTTTCCAAGCTTCATCTAGGCCTAGCTTTCTACTCATGCCTCGGCTTATGCTATAAAACCTTGTAAACGACTCAGTTTTTATCAACTAAAATGACATATTTATTTTAAACTGATTTATAATCTAAACAACTAGAATTGTTTATTTTAGTTTTCCAAATTAAGTTTATTAGCCAATAAATTTTATCTATGAATATCATCTAAAATTATTTCCATTTATATAGAAGTTTATTTTTTTAGCAGTTCGTATGAGAATGGTTGATTAAATTTGCACATCACACTGGACAGTTTTTATTACAATGACAAATTCTGTACAGTTGAAAGATTTTAGAAGCCAAGTGGGAAACACTAAAGAATGCTAACATTTACTGAAAAAACTGCATCTTGAGTCAGTTCAGTACATGAAAAGATTAAAATGTATATCAGAAAGTATAAACTTGTTATACATATATGGATATGTATGTGAAACCAACAGTTTGATGACAGATATGAGTAATAGTAGTGTAATAGATAAATCAAGAATGAGTTTGGAGGAAAATTGTGCAACATAATGAATGAATGTAATCTGGGGGGGAAATTTTCTACTCAGTGATAGGGATGGATAGAGTGGAGAAAGATGAGGGATTGCAAGCCAACTGATTAGATTATTCAGCAATTGCAAAATGAAGGAGCACAGTGAGCCATTGCTTGGAATAAAGGCTGTTGGTTTTGACTACATGTTTTAAGAATAAATCTAATCATAAATACACATGGCAGAGAACATCCAGTAGATTGAACAAAATTAAAAATAAGAGTAATAAAATTATTTGAAACGATGGAATTCTGAAATTAATATTTTGAATGGGAATGATAGTGACTGTGAAGACAGGAACTGAAAAGAATGTGCAGATAGTCCTTTACTTACGTTCTTTTAGTGACCAAAGTTACCAAAACATTGAAAAAAATGACTTATGATCATTTTTCATATTTACGACCATTGTAGCATCCCCATGGTATTGTGATCAAAATTCAGATGCTTAGCAACTGACTCATACTGGTGATGGTTGCAGTATCCTGGGGTGACATGATCACCTTTTGCAACCTTCTGACAAGCCAAGTCAATTTGGGGAACCAGATTCACTTAATAACTGTTACTAATTTAACTGCATTGATTCACTTAACAACTGTGATAAGAAAGGTTGTAAAATGGGGCAAAACTCACTTAAGAAATCTACCATGTATGAGATGTCTTTCTGTTATTCACACACACACACACACACACGCCTCTGGCTGCAAGTAGTCCAGCAAAACATTTTTAGCACAATGGCTTCAAGGCAAGAAGTCCAGAGGGGCAAGGGAATAAGTCAAGGAGTCCAACGAAGAAAAGGAACAAGGCAATTATAAGGCAAGAAGTACAACGAACTCCATAAGCCAGCAACAGCACACCAAACTCCACAAATTTAGTGTTTGTTCCCGACAAATGCCCCTCCCCACAGCATTTCCTTAAGTCTCAGTCACCAGGTGTGTCTTGTGAAAAGGGGGTGGGGTGCTTTCCTCCCCCGGCCTGTGCTGTTCCCACCTTCTCTCTACTCTCCATGCTCTGGGATCAGGAGGGGGTGGTCCTTGCTCGTTGCCTGAGCTCCGTCGCTTATCATCTTCACTGTCTGCCCTCTCTTGGTCATCCTCCCTCCTCAAGTTGTCCCAAACTCAAGGGGTCCGGGGCTGCCTCGTCCTGCTCCTCTCCCCATTCTTCCAAAGCCAATGAGGCCACCCCCTCGACGTCTGTCGGCCCCAGCTCCGGCTTGTCCTCCTCTGTGGATTCCGGCTCCAATGAGGGGGGAGGCATGACATTAGGCGTCTGTTCTCTGTGAACTGAGGCCTGTACCAGATCCGGCCGAAGAACACTTCCAAGCCAACGAGACTTTTGGGCAGTGAATTGCCTTGCTTGAAGCCTCCCATAGGCTTGCAAATGTTTTTTGCACTGTTTGAAGAGCATTTGCAAGGCAATGGGAGGCTTCAAGCAAGACATTTCAGTTAATAAACTGTAGAGTTGTAACTGCAGGAATGTTCCAATCTCGGATGGCAAACCTCAGATAAAGAATGTTTCCAAGAAAATACAACTCAGGCAGACAAAGTCATTAATCTATGGATAAAGGAGGATTAGAGAAGGGAAGTAAACTTATGTTAGACTTTAACTAGAGATAATTAATTGTATGGATTACTGTACTAAACAGTAACGAAAGTTAAGCAGTAACCAAAGTTAACCAATGATGGAGAATAACTAAAAATGTATATAAATACAAGACTATACTCCAATAAAGATCATGATTCAGTTGTTCATGATCAAACAACTCGACTGCCTCGTCATTACAATAAACATTCAATCAAACAAACAAATAACAATATTAGTTCCTAAGCCATATGCAGTCTTACAGATATGACCCTTGCCACTACATTCTGCTTCAAGTATCTGGATTTATAATTCTTGTGAAATACGCCTTATATTTGATATATCAAGGTTACTTTCTTATCCTTTAGTTACTGAGGAACTCTTTGGCAAATGAATCATAGTTAGGCAATGATCTTTTAAAGCCTACATGACTTTTTATCAGGCTATCCAAAGTAGTGATAACATTGAAAATGGTGCCACACACACCTGTATACAAAGAGATTCAGAATGATACACCTAATTAAATTAACTTGTTAGAGTTAGCTGTATAAATATACAACAGTCATTTGTTTTAATTCATAACTATGTGGATATTCTCATCTTCACATTTTTTTCTCCTAAAGTATGATTCCCCACATAGTGATGAGATGTGGCTCTTAGTCCCATTACCAGTCTAGTGTAAAATTTAATGATTTTGCAGTCTTCAGCTATAAAATCTGAATAATAAGTGCAACAGATGTTGCACATGTTTAAAACATACAGTGATGTACTTACTGGTCTTTAAGTTCAATACAAATATTTCATTTTCTAAAAGTACAAGCCATCAAATTGTACACATATTTGGCAATCTAGTACTTTTTGGATACATTGGAACTACAACTCCTAGAATTCTCAGACAATTGTAAGGACAGAATGAAGACTGTAGGGCGACTTTTGTAATCAACGGTGCTCTATTATTTGAGAAACAATGAAAGCATCGTGCAGAATGAAGGTTTCAGACATCCACACCTTCCAGTTCACAATTCTAATTTTTTAAAAAGCCTGGGATTCACCTCTTTTCATTGAGTCTATAATTACATTAAAGTAACTTGTAATATGCATTAAAGATTGTTAATGGTACTCACCATATAATATAGTTAGCATTGATATTGGCATGACAAGAAAACCCAAGAGCATATCAGTTATTGCAAGTGACATCAGGAAATAATTTGTGGCATTGTGCAGCTTCTTTTCTAGTGAAACAGCCAAGATGACTAGAATATTTCCAAAAATGGTTATAATAATCACAATAATAGTTAAGAGAGCAGACCAGTTTTTCTCATAAAGAATAGGAAATAATGATGTAGTTAGGTTCCCTTCACAAGAACAGTTCATTATAGGATCAAAGTCTGCAGTCACATTGCATAAACAAGACTTGTTAATTTCTTCAGATGTAAGTATACTTCTGTTGAATTTTCTAGCTTGGCTTAATTGTAGTAAGGAATGTTCTATTATGGACCTTTCTTCAGAAAAAATATCCATTTCTAAAAATTCTGAAACTGGTAAGTATATAGCATTGAAAATGCAAATTGCAGATGTTTTATTACAATCAAGCTCTATATTGGTTATTAATGCCAAAAAGGAAATACAATTTTACAAAGAAAACTAGCAGCCATTCAGATGATTGTATGATTTTCAATTTCATATATAATTTGATATTATTATATACAATGAATCTTGCTGAATGATTATAATCAATTTCAAAATGTTAAGGAAAAGAAAAAACAATCCATCCTCCTCCAATGTTTTTAGTCGTAGTGATCTTCCCCCCAAACAATTAAAAATATTTTAGTTACAATTATTGTTTTGTTCTATCATGGAAGTTATTAAATGCTGTATGTTCATTTAATATCATTCTGAAAAATGCTGTAAGAAAAACACTTAGATGTATTTGAAAATTCTCTTAAATTAGATTAATGCTGTGCCTTATTTTATCCTTCATTGTATTTGTTAGCACAATATTCTTTAGTTCCAGTTTGCATGAATCAAATGCATTTTGCAGACTTCCCAGCTGCCCTCTTATAGGTATGGTGTTGCCTTGTCTGTTAAGTCTTCTTTGCCATTTAAAGCTGCTCCATTTATACTTCCCTCTGTTGTTTTTCTCCTTAGGGTGAACCATGTTGGAAGAATAATCTCTGGATAATCATCCCCAAAAATTACAATGCATGAAGAAAAGTCCAAAGGGTGTTCAAAATAGTTTCTAGCAAAAATGGAAGTGATTCTCTTTTGTCCTGTTTCTTTATAAGACGTCACATTATTTTTGACATTGCATAAGTGGCAAAGGCAGAAGGAGAATAAACTGAACAGAGCTGGATTTTCTTTTACATGTTACAGTTTTATATGTATCAATGTTAGGCATTCATACTTAAAAAAAATAACATTTCCCACAGGATATCCTGCAGAGCAGCTCTTGATAACAGCAGCCTGTAGTAAAGTAGGTTCTTCTATGAAAAAGAAGAAAAGGCTAAGAATTGCATATAATGGGCAAACATCAGATTATTCCTTTCTGCAAATTGGTCACATCCTAGCTCTAAATTGAAAGTTAAATATTACACTGTCAATAGTGTTAGCTGGGTGGGTGGGGGCTAATTTTGATGTTATAGAAAATAATTCGCATGCTTTTTGAATTACAAACACGGCCTGCTTGAAAAAAAGCATATTGAAAGCAAGTACTTGGAGCACCTCTATCCAACCATAAAACTTCAGCTCGAGGTTGTCTATCTTAATCCTTCTTGAAGGACACCTGTGCATGACATAGCCTTCCTCTCCTAACCAGGCTGTATCTGAGGGCAGCTACTGTAACATTTATTTTCTCTGAAGTCCAATTTTCAATGTTTTAAAAGGTCTTTAGCTTTTCTCCCTAGTTCCTTTCTTTCAGTCTAGAATTTTTCTCTCTGTGGTTGTTTGCCGCTGTGAATAATAGTTCTAAGAGTCTTTTTTCCTGGATTTTCCTCTTTATTTTTTTCTTTAAAGTTAGGGTCTAAATAAAAAGGCATTTTCTCACCCAGCCCCAATCACTCTTCATCTGCACCACTTCTGCACATTTCTTTGTTGCCTCATCTGTCCCAGCTCTGGGGCAGCCATCATGGCTGCCTCTTCTCCTCGTCATGGGAGAGGGAATAAGTCCTGAGTCCAGCAGGAGAGTTGTGCTCTCCGTGACCTGCAGGGCGCCCCTCTTTCCTTCATCACCCCAACAAGGTGGCTTTAGATCCTTTCAGCATCCTCCAACAGGAAGAACTTGGTGTGGGAGTGTGGAGATCTGCTCATGTCCGATAGCGCAGGCATTAAATAGTGTTTTTGTTAGTGTCTTAGTATACAAATTAATATAGATATCACTTGGGCAAAGCAAAAATTGTTTTCCTATATCTCCAATAATTCTAAAGGGCTTATTTTAAGACACACATGCTCATATAAACATAATTTTTATGCCCTGTGCACTTTTAAAGAACATATATCATGTTATGCATCTGGACTGTTTTGGGGGGTTTGGGAATAGGAGACACTGTTTTGTGGTAGCTCTTCTCTTTCCTCCATGGCCAGTTTCAGCTGGTGTTGTGGAGAGAGGCCAAACGCTAGGTCCCCACAATATGTGGTGCCTTGGGTCTGGTGTCTCCTTCCTCTCCTCTTTTAACATCTACATGAAACCATTGGGTGAGGTCATCTGACAGCTTGGGATGCACTATCATCAGAACGTTGATGATACCCAGCTATAGATCCCCACCCTTGTCCAGGCAACTGATACTACTGCTATACTGGTGAAGTGCTTAGAGGATGTGAGGGCCTGCATGGTGAGAAACTGACTTTGCTTAACCTGAGCAAGACAAAGTGCCTTTGAGTTTTTTAGGCTGTGGTGATTTGCCATCCTTGACTCTGGATATACTTCCTTGGACTGAGCTGGTGCACAATTTGGACATCTATCTGGACTCACACTGGATGTTCTCAAGGAGCAGGAGGCAGACTATTCAGAAGCTTCAATGGGTCCAGAATGAAGCATTGCACACAGTATTGGGTGATCCTAGGTTCACCCATGTTCTACCTCTGCTATGTGGGTTGCATTGGCTCACAGTTTCCATTCAAGTGCAATTCAACGTTCTGGTTATCAGCTTTAAAATCTTACATGACATGGGACCAAATTATTTATGGAACCACCTTTCCCTGAGAATAATTGTCCATCTTACCATATCAGATAGAGTAGGTATGTTCTAGATCCCTTCCTTGAAATCTTGCATCTAGTAGGACTTTGGAGGCATGCCTTTTCCATGGCTGCAACTACCTTATGGAACATTCTGACTCTGATGATTCAGCAGGTCTTTTGGAAGGCTATCTAAGGCCTGGCTTTTTACCAGGTCCTGGGATAGAATGAGGATATCTGAGCTGGTTGTGGGGCAATCCACAATGATGGAGGTACTGATTTTTTAATATATGGTTTTATAGTTATTGGTTTTATTATTTTAAGTTGCATAGAGTTATAGTTATTGATGGGCATAAAATATTTTATATAAATAAAAATATAATACAAGTCAAAATGAATTGAATAAACTGAATTTGATTAAAAAGCATCCAACCCTCCTATTGTAAGTAGAAAAAATATGGATCTCAGCAATAATAATAATACAAGAATATATCACAAACAGTATTTAGATTTTATAAACTTTTGCAGAGAAAAAAGAAAAGAAAAATAGAAAATCCAAGTAGAATAGAAGGGGACGAAGAATCATTTTGCCATCTGGAAACAAACCATGGCATAAACAAACCTTAACAATTTTACTTCTGCTACGTTTTCATGATATTAATTTCATCAAGCCCCCAGTGCATGTGGGTGGTAAGTTTAGTTATGCTTAGCAGTACTAAGCAAATGATTTTATATCTTTCCACATTTGAGTGTGAAGTTATTACTATCTGATGCATTTCAAACCCTTTTGATGTGGGTTGCAAGCTGCTCCATGTGAGAAAGAAGGTGCCAGGCCTTTCTTAAATTGACCTCTTTAAAGAGCAGCATGTTTTGGGAAAAAGAACAGTAATAAATGTAGTAGCTCTTTCTTTTTCACTTTTGACAAGAGTCTGCCACTTTATTAAGAAAGTGAGATGAGACAATCTCTCATTTCCTATGGCCAGCTCTGCATGTGTGGATTGTGTCGGTTCTGCTTTCTCCTGCTCCAGATGAGGAAAATGGCTCCCTCAAGCTGTTTCCAGCTTAGCAGGTTTCACAGCTTTCGAAACCAGCATTCAATCCCCTTCCTTGAAACAGAATGGTTTGGTGTTGTTGCCAAAATCTTCTAACTTTTTCAAGAACTCAACAAGGTTATCTTTAAGCTGGTTTGGATATTTTTATATTTGGAAACAATGAGTTTCCTTCTTTTCTACATAAATTGTAACCATGACGCTCCCCATAATCTTTCCAGTAAAAGTTGAAAAGATTTCTAAATTATACCATGCTTACCAATATAGCTTTTAAAATCCCATTAAAATATTTGGTCTAAGACAAGCAATAGATTTTAAGTGTTTATTGCCCAGATTTCCTTATCTTTTGTGGCCTTAAGGGCCAAGTAGAACAACATTTTTGAAATAATATCCCTGTATTTTTTAAAGTATTGGAATGTGAGAAAAGAGCAAGGTCTATCCCAAAGTATTAGCGAGAGAGAGTTGCAGTTTACTCCAAACCACCGTGTACAATGCCGAGAAATTATGCAAATATATATATATTTCTGTGCCCATAGATCAAAAGGTATAGGCATCCAAAAGATTATTTTTCATATGCCACTATCCTAAAAGTTATAGGCATCCCAAAAAATGATTTATCATATCCCACTGTTTTCTTACAAAAATGTATAAGTGGTTAATAAGGTCTTATTTTGAACAAATTTGTAGAAATGTTTCCTTCTCATTCTTCTCATTTCTCATACGAACATATTTGTAATATGTCAAAGTTAATAATAGAGAACTATCAACCAATGAAACAGCTTGCCTTCAGAAGTTGTGGGACCTTCATCACTGGATGCTTTCAAGAAGAGACTGGATTGCCATTTGTCAGAAATGATGTAGGGTCTCCTGCTTGAGTGGGTGGTGGTGGACCAGAATTGATGATCTACAAGGTCCCTTCCAACTCTGTTAATCTGTTAATATATATTGAGTGCTGTAGAAAACACAGCTATTCTTGAAAGGGTGGTGATTGATATTATTACGTATTTATATATTTTTCATAAAAGATAACACATATTGATAGAAGTGATATAAAAATTATAGACTTGCACAAGTGTCATTAATTATAACAATTGTCTGTGCTGCTTTTGCAAACAAAAGACTTTATTATTTGTGGTGAAGTTCAAAGTAAAATTGTTGCATTCAAAGTCAACTGAAAGGAGTTCCAGAGAACTGAGGCTCTGATCCTGTTATAGTTGGATAAATTATCTGCTTGCAAATTTCATTGCAATGTTTAAATGAAAGGACACTGAAAAATCAGACTAAACAATGCGGAGTTTTTTAAAACTTTATTACTTTATATCATGTCTGCTTAGCACTAAGATAAATAAATTTTATT